CCCCAGTTGGAATTGAACTGGCAACCTTGCGAATGCGACCTGGGAGTGCTAACCACTGCACTATTGACCCGCAGGTCTGATTGGTGGTTTTATTTAAACTATTATTTAAAAATATTTATGTAATTGCTATTAGAACCCAAAAAAAACATATAAAATGCTTATTTAAAGCATCTTTAATTTGGATAATTATCAGGTCAGATTGAGTCAGATTCAGTTCAGGTTAATGTTCAACCCAAACTTGACCTGAACCCAACCCGAACTTTTCAAGTCAGATTTTCTAACCTGATCCTGATCCAACCTGAAATTTCAGAACTAATTACTGCTAAAAGTCTATAATCAATTTAAAATTAGTAGGTAAAGACAATGCTAAAGAAATTATACAACCATTTATATTAAATGTCATATCACTTGTTGTGTATCTATGGAAGCCCAAATAAATAATTAATATAATCCTGTCATATAACATAATGAAAAATGTTTCTCTTGCAATTTTATTCTAGCCTCAACCCTAACTATAATTCTGATTCTTATTTGTATTCATTTTCTGTAAGGTGCCAAGTATAGTTAGTGGTAGAATTATTGAATTACGGCATTACAGCATTTTACCAGATGGTAGAATTAAATATGGCACAGTACCTGATTGCTGTAAATAATATATCCGTAATGTGTATTGCAGTTTAGTTGCGTTCAAAAAACATTGCATTGTATTGCTGTATTGCTATATTTCCCTAATACCATAATATCGAAGCAATTCTTGAATGTGTGCCAGGTTTGTGGCACAGCAAAAATTCTTTAATTAACCAAGCTGCTGCAACAAAATTGTCTCACAGATCCTCTATTTTGATTGGCTAATGGGCGTGGATCTGCAAAATTTTGGCCCGCATTACATAATTGTTTAATAATTTCTGGCTGGAGTTAACTTTTTAATTTCTTATTCTCAAAATAGAAATTTTCAACGAAATAGACCAACACAATTGTAAAATTAGCCCAGGAACAATTTTCACTTAATAGGCAGCTATGATTTCATTAGTAATTCCGGTCAAATTTTCTGATCGTCGTGACAATTTTGTTTTGTCAATCATTGTGCGTAACAAAATTTTTTTAAAGTTCATTACAGTTGTTATCATAAATTCTGAGACATCTGGCAAAAATTAGCCGAATGATTATTCGGCTGATCCAGTTAAATAACTAATTTCAGTAGTATTCGGACTCAAAAAAGTTTTAAACATTATATGACTAATATATCGAGCACTAAACTTAAACAAAAATTTAGACTAACAAAGTAATATCAATAAGCAATAAATTAATCATTTTATTTATTCAATAAACATACAACCAGATAGTATTATGATTAATGGTTTTTCTAAGTATTTGGAATATTCCATTACTTTTTAAAATGAGTATAATCCTCCAGTTTATGCAATGACACAAAATTTTTATTAATACTATCAAGCCATTTGTTACTATTTGGGATCATTATGTTTTGTTGCTGCGTCCTGGATCAGAATTATAAAAACATTTACTCAAAGAAATAATCAGCGTTATAATCTTTCGGAATAGCATTAAAAATAAAATATAAAAGATTTTCTGATGCAATTGCATTTTCTTGATTAGTTTTTATAATTTTATTTCGATTTTCATTCTTTTTTAGTTTATTATTAGTGGAAATTTGGTTATAACAATCAACGTATATTTTTAGAATAACATGTTTGTTGAATTTTATGTTTTTAACAATCGCTTTTCACTTTGAAGTATCGAAGAAAAAAATTTACTTACTACAAGTATGTTAATATTTAATGATCCTAATCATGATGATTTGACAATATCACATGATTTCGAAACTTTTTTGGGTGGTGATTTTTACCGTGGTCTATATTATCGTTATACCGAATACTGCCGAAATTAATTACTTAACCGGATCGGCCGAAAAATCATTCAGCTAATTTTTGCCAGGTGTTCAGAATTTATGATAACAGCTGTAACGGTAGGGTTAGTGTTTAGAATAAACTTAAAGACTGAATGTTTATATAGTAAAATAGCTCAATAAAGTTTTTTTGTTAGAGTACTAAAAGTGGTTCTGTTGTTTTTTGAGAAACATCAAATTTTGACAAAACTGATCGTATTACGTTACACCTGATTTTTTGAAATGATTTGTAGATGGGAGATCTGCGCTACAATGCTTCAAGAATTGCTTCGATACTATGGCATTACGGCAAATAATACAGCACATGCCGTAACCGTATTGATTTGCCGAATTAATTCTACCACCAACTATATTTACGTTATTGACGCAAATCCTACCTAAAATAGGGGTCTTTTAAAGCCAAGTGCATTTGGTATAAATTTGGGGGATCCTTAAAGCGGGGCAGATCAATCGAGTGATGGTCCAGGGTCATGCATGCCAATTGACTTGTATGATTATTAGCCAATCAAAACTCGAATAACAAACCATGCGAGTCAATAAAAGCATTGTATAACTTTGAAAAAATCCTTGACAAAAAATTCGTATAGGTATTACGTCTGTACTTGGGACCATAAGGTCTTGTCTTTTGAGAGAAGTTCTTATAGTATTAGAGTTGCACTTAAAAATTGCACATTCTGAAGTTTTGCGTCTTGGAAGGTTTTTTTTTTTTGCACTTAAAAGTTTTTTTTTTTTTTGATACATATATTGTCTTTCCTTCAGCGCTTTAAAGTTTCACACTAAACTTTACTTTATTAAACTTTAATGCTACACTAAACTTTAACATTACACTAAACTTTAACACTACACTAAACTTTAACACTTTACATCTGGTTTCTTATTTTAATGATTTTTGTCTTCAATGTGATTAGAAAATTTTACTTTTTTTTTGATATATCTTCTTTTACCAGCTTTAAAGTTTTACATTAGGCTTTAATACTTTACTTTTGGTTTTTTCATTTTAAATAATTTAGACATAATTAGAGATTTTTACTTAATTTTTTTTTTGGATCAACAACATGATACCTTTTTTTTTTTTTTTTAAAAGAAAAAAGAAGAAGATTTTTTCAAATTTGAAAAGTTGTATGAATCTGTTACTACACTTTCTATCATTAAATAATCAAATTATAAATTTCTCATATCAATATCAATATATTAAACTTATATGAACATTATTTTAATATGGATAATTCATTTGAGCTCTCTAGTGAAGAGTTTGACAATCAATAGGTCCTTGTTAACAATTTTTAGATAAGGTTTAATGACTATAAGTAAAAAAAATGGTGATGAATAAAAGATCTATATGTGTTGGTTCTCAAAATCAAAGAAATCAAGTAAAAGAAAAGAAGATGTCCTTTCAGAAAAGCTTCGTATAATTTCAAAATGATCTTCTACTGAATATAAAGTTAAGATAAAAATTACTTAGTTTGCTGTTACAAATATTGTTCATATTGAACAAATAGATGGTACCCCAGATTATTGTTATACTATTGATGAAGTTAATGTGCAAAAGTGCTCAAAATTTATTAAGAAATTGATGCATAATGAGGCAATCAAAAATTATTATCCTTTAGTAATTACAAATTTTGTTCAAAATAAAGCTAAGAAAGTGTATGAAAATTTAGGTATAGAGTATCTTAAAACACAGAAAGTTACAAACAGCAAGTTTAACCTTGTTGGTTTAATGAATTTACACTTTATCGATCAATCTAGTTTGAAAGCTAATATTACTGATACTGTAAAATTTTTAATTAAAAAAAATTATCAAGTAGAATGATTTTTTGTTCAAAAATTCTATAGTTTTTGTTTCACAAATCCAAAACAATTGAAAAGCCTAACACATTATGATTGGTTAACTCTTATTGACTCAACACACAATACTAATAAGCATAGTTGGAGAATGTTTACATTATATATTCATGATAGCTGCAGTTGTTAGAATATAGGTGTATATTTTTATGTTAGTAATAAAAATAGTGAAGTTGTAATATTAGCATTAAAAATTATCTAAAAATTTGCTCTTTGCTAAAGCCCATGATACATGCTCTTTGATCAAAGTAATATAGAAGCAAATGGTATTGAAACAACCTTTCTCAAGTTACAAGTTAAAGAACAAGAATGCAGTATTCTGCTTTGCACAGTTTATATTATACATATATAGATAAAGAATATATATCACAGGCCAAATCTTGAAAAAAATAACACATTCAATAAACAAAAGAACCAAAACTAGATATGAAAATATTATTCAAGATGCTATAACTAACTGTCCTGTTCTGGCAGTCACTAAATATATTACCAGAAATTACTTAAAAAATTCTAATAAATAGGCCCTTTGGGCCTGACAACTCTCATCTCTTCTTCTTCAAATAACCTTAACAAACCCCTTTAAATCTTATCACAATGAACTTAAAACAAGAATCTCAATTACATATAGTTTAATAGACATGTATTTTATCTTTTAAAGTTTTTTAAAGAGTAGTAAACTTAACATATAGACTAGAGAATATTAAAAAAATAAAAAAATAAAAAAAAATAAAAAATAAAAAAATTAAGAATGTGAGATAGAAACAATAGATGCAAGGCATTCATTTATATATCTTTAAAAATCTGTTATAGTAGAAAGCTTGGCTGTGATTAATAAAATTAGAGCTAAGCAGCAAGTGTATAAGATTAATTCTGATAAAACTTTCAAGTTGACTATCATCAAATGAAATGGAATTAAAATAATCTATAAATATAAGGTGTCAATTCATTACCAAAATATCACTTCAAAAATAAATTGAAATCAAAAAAATAAACATTAAGTATTTATTTAGTATCAAATCAATCTGTTGAAATAAGAGACATAAATAAAATATTCACGAATTTGGATTTGGAATGAGCATAAGGTATTTATATATTATCTAAAATCATTTGAGACAAATAATTTTGATGAGGATTTTAAACTTCTATTTGTTGCAATTATAGAATTGGTGTATAAAAAAGAAAAATAAGTTATCAGTTAATTCTTATGAATATTATAATCAATTTAATCTAAAATTTATTCTCTTAATCAGAATACAAGACATTGTGGAATTTAAAAAATTATTCATTTATGTGTTAAACAATATCAGAATATTAAAGAACTTATCTGCACATGTGATAATTGACCAAATAATTCAATTATGATCAATATAATGTAATATGATCAAAATGATGTAAAAAAATTTATCCTTTTTTTAATCATTCAGAACTCAAAAATTTATATAACAAACTAACTTTTGTGCTCTAACAATAATTTTTTCTTGTAAAATTTTACTGTAAAGTGGTAGCTCTTTCATAATAATCTAAAACCTTGTCACCAATTTAAAAAACAATAAAATATACATTATTATATGTATAGCTACATGCTGGGTCTTTTTATATGTTAAGGTCAGGATTCATAAACTGCTATTTGTTATAATTATAAAATTGATGTAAAAATGGATTAGCAAGTAACTTATAGCTAATTTCTTATGAATATTGTAGCTAATTTATTATTAAAATTATTCTCTTATTCAGAATTTAACATATTGTTATCTGAATTGGAAAGATGAATGTAAAGTATTTATTTATCTGTTTATATAGATAATGCTAGCAGAATATGAATAAGTACAAAGCATTTATTCTTTATCTAAAATCAGTTGAGACAAGTAATTCAATTGGAATTTTAAATAGTTATTTGTTATAATTAAGAAATTATGTAGAAAAAGAAATAAAGCTGAATATTATTTTGAATTGGCATATAAGTTATTAGTTAATTTTTTATGAATATTAGAATTGATTTAATCTAAAATTTATTCTCTTATATAGAATTTTAGACATTATTACCTATAAGAAATTGGAGTTAAAAAAATGAATGCAAAGTATTCATTTATGTGCTAAGACAGGTAATTCAAAAACTATCATTTGTTACAATTACAGAATTGTTGTAGAAATAGATTAGTAAGTTATTATTTAATTTTTATGAATATTGAGGTCAATTTAATTATAAAATTCACTTTTTATTTAAAATTTAACTTATTGTTATCTAAATAGATTAAAATTGAAAAGATGAATATAAAGTATTTATTTATTTGCAGACATGGATAATGCTAGTGAAATATAAGATAAGCATAAAGTATTTATGCATTATCTAAAATTAGTTAAGATACAAGTTATTAGTTAATTCTTATAAATATTAGGGTCAATTTAATCTAAAACCTATTATTCTTTTATTTAGAATTTCAGATATTATTATTTAAATAAAATTAGAGTTAAAATGATAAACACAAAGTATTTATTTATATGCTATTTGTTGCAATTATAGAATTGAATTAGCAAGTACTGTATATTATTAGTTAATTTTTCAAGAATATTATAGTTGATTTAATTATAAAATTTATTCTCTTATCTATTATTATTTAAATAGAATTAAAATTGAAAAAATGAATATTAGGTAGTTATTTATTTGCTGATACAAATAATACTAGTAAAATATTGAATAAGCATAAAGCATTTATACATTATCTGAATCAGCTAAGACAAGTAATTCAATAAAAATTTTTAAAAATGCTATCAGTTATAATTATGACTTGATATGAAAAAAAATAAAGTCAAATATTATTATTGAATTGATAAGTAAGTTATTAGTTAATTTCTTATTATGGTTGATTTGATTACAAAATTTAAATTCATTCATAATTTGAAACATTGATATCTAAATAGATTAAAGTTGAAAAGATAAACTTAAAGTATTCATTTATCTATTGATATAGATAATGCTAACAGAATAAGATATGTATAAAGCATTTATGTATTGTCTAAAATTAGCTAATATAAGTAATTTAATGAAAATTTTAAACTGCCATTTATTATTATTACTAAATTGTTGTAAAAAAGAATAACTATTTATTATTGGATTGGCAAGTAAGTTGTTTAATAATTTCTTATAAACTTATAGTTTATTAAATCATAAAATTTAAATTACCTTACTTAAGACTTTGAGATATTATTATTAAAACATATTAGAGTTGGAAAGATGAATATATTCATTTATTTGCTAATGTAGATAATGCTAGTAAAATAGATAAACATAAAGCATTTTATATTATCTGAAATTAGCTGAACAAGTAATTTAATAAAAATTTTTAAAACTTCTATTTGTTACAATTGTAAAATTGGTTTGAAAAAGAATGAAATCAAATATTTTAGATTGGCAAATAAGTTGTTAATTAATTTCTCATTATTACTGTATTATAGTTGATTTAACTATAAAATTTAAATTTATTTATTAGAATTTAATGCCTTGATCATGTAATAAAATTGCATAGTCTGATCTATTTGAAATTAGAATAATTTAGAGTTAAGCAAATTTATTGTATTTTGTATACTTTTGTCTATTTTTTGAATACATAATTGATTAATATATAAATTTTTCTTATTTTAAGATCTTATTATATTAATCTGATTTATTACTCTTTATAATATTATATATGCAGTTTAGTTATATTAAGTTCTTTAATCTTAAAAAAAAAAACAATATTTTTTTCTTCTTTTATATTGTTATAGGTATATGTATGAAGATACTTGAGCTTGATAATAAAAAAGATTTTGATGCGAAGGTAGCTGCAATTAATTTTTAGACTAAAAAGATCCCAATCACTAATATAAGATCTGAGTTTCTTATTGAGATTTAAAAATTCTCCTTTTCAATCCAAAGACTTATTGTAAAAGAAGTGCATACAGTTTCAAAAAGGTTGCAAAAAGAAAAAAAGTGCTCAATCTTAAAATAGCTAAATGTTCTTACAAATTCTTTATCCATTATATGTTATCTTGTTATCATATCTTTCATGAACAACTTTGTAGCAATTCCAATATTCTTATATCAGAAATCTGATATTACTTTCAAGAAACCTTTAAAAAAAGTGATATGGAAGTATATCAGTCATGTCAATTGGTGAAAATACTACTGATTCAACAATCAGATACTAAAAAAATATAGAAAAAAATAAACAAATTATGAATAAATTGTTTAAAGAACTAAATATTAATATTATCGATTGGTTGAAAAAAACATAGATGAAGTAACAAAATTTGTTAAAGATTTAGAAAGGTTATTGGAACCTGTAATCAAAAAGAAATAAAGCAAATAATGTATAATTTTTTTGTCCAATATCATAAGTAACATTAATGGAACCTTTGTATTTAATAATATTTTTATGTCAGTTTATTCATCTTTTGGTAATTAACACATAAGTAAAAGAAATGTAAATTAATAAAAAAATCTCATTGATGATAAAATGTATATATTATTTAATGAATAATAATATATTTATTGGTAATTTAAGATGTAAATTAAAAAAATAAAATAAATATTTAAAGAATTCTAGTATATATTTTTTTATAAATAAACTATATACATATTTATAAACTAGTAATTTAATATGTAACTGAAAGGAGAATATTTAATTCTATTGAAATAAAATATGCTTATTCTTTATAAACTCTATATTTGACTAATAATTTAGTATGTAAAATAATATTTAATAAAGATTTCTATTGAAATAACCATAATTTTAACAAGTTCAAAGAATTCTGTCAATGAAAATAAAAGAAAATATTTAATAGAGTTCTATGATAAAATTATAAACAACCTAAAAACTTACAAACTGGATAAACATAAGTAAAAAAACTGTGAAAAGTAATATTTAATAAATTTTTATTGACGATTTAACTACAATTACTCTAACCTAAGAAAAAGGTTTCGTTGTAAAG